TCACAGCATGCATATGGAGGGCCTGCCCTTCCAAGTTGCCTCTGACAACACTAACAACCAGGCTTACTTTTTTGCAGACCAAGTGAGTAATTAATTGTTCTTTGTACTTGCTTCCATGACCATTTTGTGCTCTACAGTCAGCACAGATTCTTGACCTCCTGTATCAGTGCCAAAGCTGAGCTTCCCAAAAAGAGTGTTCCACTATCACATAAGAAAAACTGGGGTCAGAAGGGGATCAGAAAGGAGATGCTCAATGACTCTTTTGCCTCGGTCTTCACTGGCAAGAGCTCTAGCTACATTGCCCAAGTTGCAGCAGGCAAAAGTAGGAACTAGGGGAACGAAAAACCACCCGCTGTAGGAGAAGATCAGGTTCAAGATCATCTAAGGAACATGAAGGTGCACAAGCCCATGGGACCTGATGAGATGCATCTGCAGGTCCTGAAGAACTGCCACATGAAGTTGCCAAGGATTATCCATCACATTTTAGAAGTCATGACAGTCTGGTGAGTTCCTGCTGACAGGAAAAAGGAAAATATAACCCTCATTTTTAAAAAGGGAAAGAAGGAAGACCCAGGGAACTACAGGCTGGTCAGTTTTGCCTCAGTCCACAGCAAGATCATGGAGCAGGTCCTCCTGGAAAATATGCTAAAGCAAATGGACATTAAGGGGGTAATTGGTGACAGCCAACATGACTTCACTAAGGGCAAATCATGCCTGAAAATTTTGGTGGCCTTCTATGATGGGGCTATGGCATTGGTGGATAAAGGAAGGGTGACTGACAACATCTACCTGGACTTGTGCAAAGTGCTTGACACTGTCCCACATGGCATTCTTGTCTCTAAATTGGAGAGATATTGACTTGACAGATTGACCATCCAGTGGATAAGGAATTGGCTGGATGGTCACACCTAAAACATTATGGTGAATGGCTCAATGTCCAAGTGGAGACCAGTGACAAGTGGTGTTCACCAGGGGTCATTATTAAGGCTGGTGCTGTTCAACATCTTTGTTGGCAACATGGACAGTGGGACTGATGCACCCTTAGCATGTCTGCCAATGACACCAAGCGGTGTGGGGTCGACAAGCTGGAGAGAAGGGATGCCATCCAGAGGGACCTGGACAGGCTGGAGAGATGGGCCAATGCCAACATCATGAAGTTCAACAATGGCAACTATAAGGCTCTGCTGCTGGATCAAGGCAATCCCAGGCACAACTATAAGCCGGGCAGGGAATGGATTGAGAGCAGCCCTGAGGAGTAAGACTTGGGGGTGTTGGTTGATGGGAAGCTCAATGTGACCCAGTAGTGTGTCCTCGCAGCCCAGAAAGCCAACGATACGCTGGGCTGCATCAAAAGGAGCGTGACCAGCAGGTCAAGGGAGGGGATTCTTCCCCTCTTTTCCACTCTCATGAGACCCAACCTGCAGTACTGCATCCAGCTATGGAGCCCCCAACACAAGAGAGATGCAGACAGGCTTGAGTGAGTCCAGAGGAGGCCATGAAGATGATCAGAGGGCTGGAGCACCTCTTCTATGAAGACAGGCTGAGATAGTTGGGCTTGCTCAGCCTGGAGGAGAGAAGGCTCTGGGGAAACCTTAGAGCAGCTTCCAATACCTAAAGGGGGCCTAGAAGAAGGCCTTTTTAGAGGGACTTTTTAGAAGGTCCTGTGTTGTTAGGACAAGGGGGGATGGCTTTAAGCTGAAAGACAGGAGATTTAGATTAGAGATACTATGAAGAAGTTCTTAACTATGAGGGTGGTGAGGCACTGCCACAGGTTGCCCAAAGGAGCTGTGGCTGCTCCATCCCTGGCAGTGTTCAAGGCCAGGCCGGATGGGGCTTTGAGTAACCTGGTGTAGTGGAAGGTGTCCCTGCCCATGACAGACGGTTGGAACTGGATGAGCTTTAGGGTCCCTTCCAATCCACATGATTCTATATGATTCATGATTCTATGATAGGCAACCTGATGTCCATTAGTACAGCACAAAGGTGAATCTCATACCCGAAACTACTCACTCTGTGCAGGAGACACAGGTGTCCACAAACCAAACACCACAGAATATGTATTTAAGAAGCAGGGAGCATGGGAGAGCATAGGTTATTTTAACAGTTGATTTATTGCCAGGGAGACCCTGCCTAGCAGTAAATTCTAGGCAGTTTCAGAGCAAAGACTTCTTTTCTCCATGAGTTTGTACAGCCACACTAGCACATGCAGACAAGTCACCGCTGCTCTGGAGAAGCACGTGACTGAAAGAGGCAAGAGTGCTATACATCCACTGCAAAGATGTGTCAGGAAAATCACACACTATTTATATGTTACCTTGCTCAAGCTACTAACTATCCTCTCCATGAGGCATAGCCTTTATATGTCTTTAACTTTTTTAACAAAGGAAAGGAAAAAATTATCTGGGTGCAACAAGTTTTCAGGATGCATGAGAGGTAAGGTCCAGGGTCTGTGAAATGAAAGAAAACTAAGTACAGGAAAATTTGTCCAAGTTTCACCTCAAGGGTCACATTTTTTCAGAGAGCAATAGAAATGGCACTCCTGCTGACTGGGATTTGAACAAAACTATCTGAAACATACATATATTATGTATATAAGTGTGTGAATACAGTATAGTTATATGTTACTTTCTTATGTAAAAGTCTGGTAACCATTGAGACATAAATATGATTTTTTGGGAATCATTATACCAAATTGGCACTTGTTTTGTTCTATGTGTAAACATCTGCCATGGACCAGTGTATGTAAGGAGAGCTGGGGTTTCCAAACGGAAGTGATTGAGTCACTATCTCTGGAGGTATTTAAAAGATGTAGATGTGTCACTTTGGGACATGGTTTATTGGTGGACTTAACAGTGCTAGGTTTATGGTTGGACTCAATGGTCTTAAAGGTCTTTTCCAACATAAACAATTCTGTGATTATACATGTTAGTGTTCAGTACATCTTCAGAGTCCAAATTTGTTCAGTACAACTGGTTCTTTGAATTTTCAAGAGGTACCAGACTGTTGGAGGGTTTTGGTTTTCTAGCCTTTTTTTTTAAAGAGCTAAAGAAAGACAAGTGACTTCCTGGAAAAATGTTTCAGATGCTAAACTGAAGAATGTTAGATGCAACACTGTCAGGCAAAAAAAATATTTATGCAGGACTAATTCCAGTATCCAAAATTGGTTCACACATAGATTGCTGAACTCTTTTCATCTGTCATCCTAGTTTATGACAGCAGCTTGAAAAACAGAAAAGTTGTATTTTTAATAACAAATGAAACCCAGCTTAAATTAAAACCCCTTGTTAGCATTGAATGTTCAACTAAGCCAAAGAAGGAAGCTGTGGTGAAAGCAAACGGATATGAAATGTGAAGAATTTCTCTCCATTTACTCTGGGTAAAAGCTGCTTAGCTTGGTCTGACCACTAAACTGATTAACAAGCGGATTCAGCTCTCAAGAAAGTTAAAACTCCCTCTAATGGCAACTGGATAGAGTCTGAAAAAAATGAAAAGCATCTCACTGTATTTGAGATGTATTTTTGGCTAGGCAAAATCTGGTTAGTATGAATGCTTTTGGAAAGTGAAACCTTAGCCAGTGGCCAAGATTCCTTTAAATTACAACAGATTTGTTTAGACTCCTGACATAAAAATTTTATGTGCTTTGTAAGATGTGCTGTTTAAAAATTAATGTTACATAAAATGCGTTTTCTCCAATGCGTCTGTTGCTTTAAGAAAATGGCTTAGAAAATCACCCACGACAGAGAGCTCCTCCCCTCCATGAAAAGGGTTCTGCTATTCAACAGCAGCACTCCCAATAGAAACAGTAAACACTGTCAGAGATAGTTACAGGATCAGAAAATCTCAGGCTTAGGTTTATTCATAGCAAAATAAGCATTTAGCCTGTCCAGCGAGTGTAATAAAATACGAAAATACTACATTGTGCTCTCAAATACCAAAAAGAAATTCTCATTAGAAAATAATAAAAATTGAGAACATACCACATGTCCTTTCAATCGGCAGAGCGGTGTCTGCCAGGATAAAAATATTAGGGAATCAATGTAACCAAAGGATTGATGGCTAGCACTAGATGCACTAGCAATAATATGCAAGGAAAAACTTCCAAAATCAGGAATTTAGGAAGCTTCAAGCTCAGTCATAATGACAGCTGATCACACTTTTTTCTACAGCCTTGAGGGCATTTCAGGTTCCCAGGTAAATTCTAGCGCTTAATCTCCTTTATTTTTGCTATCCCTGCAAAACGCATGGAATTACTGAGAGATCATGGCTTGATTTCTCATTAACAGTGATCATTCTGTGAGTCATTTTTACAGCCTAAAGGTCATTTCGATTACCCCAGCACAAGAATCACAGGAAAATATACTAGGGGCTGGAAATCCAGAGTAAAGTCAGCAATAAAAACATTAAATATTTTATTCAAAAACTGATTTTTTTTAAATGCTGACTTTTAATCTAAAAGCTCACGAGAGCCGTTCTCAAATCCAATCTAGTAACTCTTCTGCTTTAGGAACAGAAGCTTTTACAGAAGGGTGCAGAATAAACCAGCCATTCATGCTAGCATGTACTCCCAGTTCAGCATATCAGAATAAGAAAGGCATTTGGAATCTGATCCAAGTTATTAAATCTGATCTGAGTTATTAAAAAAAATCTGATCTGAGTTATTAAAAAAAAGGCTTGCAAATTCACACTAGTGTACGTGTACCTTTGTTACCCCTTCTTTTATTTACTGGAGGTTCAAAGCCACTTACCCCACCAAGATAACTAGAAACTAAATGGATAATAGCGCGAAAAAAAAGCGTAAGTACATTCTGAAAACAGGGCATACTCGCCTGTGAGATACTAGAAACAAAAAAGGCCTGGAATACGTCTATGCTTGTAGGCAATCTTATTTTATTGAATGGCTTGAAGTGCTGCTTAAAATAACACTTTACAGTCTGTACAGGCAGTTTCCATTAATATTTTTTTTTTCTTCAGAAATCATGCATATTTATGCACATCATTTTGAGATAGAATTACCATTTAAAGCAGAAATTCCTTTTAAAAAAATATTTTAAAAGATAAGGCAGGCAGTAGCAATCCTTCAGAAGGCAAAGCACACAAACTCTCTACACTGAAGGTATAGTTTATTCACTGAGAGATATTAGTAACTGCACAAGGTCATTTAAGGATGGATTCAACTGAAAATGACAGGGGCTCTGTTGTTGGAAGTTTTGCTGTTGCCTGTTTAGCCCCAGAAAAGTTTTTTGTGCATTTATCTGTTGCAAACTTGTATTTTTGGTTCTCTTTAATAGCACACTCTCTGTATTTCTTAGAAGCATCTTCAAAATTCTCTTTCACAAATGATGTTCTCAGCTCTGCTCCTGACCCGTCAGGAAATGTTTGGTGGAACATCAATTGAAATGGAGCATATTTGAGAGGAAGTTTGGTACTGGTTTTGCTGATCTTGCTTAATAGCTGCTCCTGATGAGCCAGAGAATCCTTATTAGAAATCTGAGAGAAAGTCCTTTTTGGAGGAGAGAAAGCTGATCTTTCACGAGCTTCCTGAGGAAGGCATGGTATCTCATTACATGGCTGCTGAATGTCTTGAGCATGGGTCAGAACAAGCGAATTTTCCAGTTTTGGAGGCATGATGTCATGCTCAGTATTCGAACAGTCCTGACTTTGTGACACCTTAGCATCCCAACCTGCCCCAGGTTTAAGAGCTTGGACAGTAGTAGCATTTAATAGGCATTGTTGGTATAGGAGAGCATCACTAATGGGGCCACATTTTGGCCACATTAAGAACCTAGAAGGCAGGGGATACTGTCTATAGGTAGTAGCTACACTGACATTTGAAGAAATCAGTTCCATGTTGCTGGATCCTGAACACTGCATGGTTAGATCAAGGCAGGTCGGTAAAAAATTGCAAAACTCCTTGTTTGGAGTATCAACTTGAGTAGCGTTGAAGGCTGTCTTATAGGAGTTGTATTCAGCTCCATGCACCATGCGGTTAGGGAGGAAAAGGGCAGCTGCTTGTGTAGCTTCCATCATCTCCCTCTCTTTATACTCTCTCTCTAGCATAATGTTCTCCAACTCTTTATCAGCAAAAGCCCGTCTCTTTCTCATCCTGTCACTTACAGGGGGTGGCAAGGGTGAATTCCCTCCCAGGTAAGGGTCTGTTGGAATAGGACGGTAACCTAGAACAACAAAGCAGCATTAGGAATGAGGCTGCATAAGAAAAACATTGGTGTGTTTGTAACAGGGCTCTGTTTGAAGCCAGTCCGGCCAGGCGCGGAGTATTTGCTACAAACCGTGGACACCATCAGATCCTGCTGAAACCATGTCACGGAGTCTTAGCTCCTTGAACCATCAGGCACATTCTTTACAAGTTCTTCAGTGCAGATAAACCAACCCTGCCCCCCTGACATGTGTAGTCTCCTAGTAAAGATTAGTAACTTTAAAAAGGTATTCCAAAGCAGCAGATTGAGGAAAAAAAATTAAGGCAGTGTGTGTGTGTGTGTGTGTGCAAAACCCTGCTGTGTGTTATGACTGATATTCCACCATGCAGCTTAACGAGATAACCATCCATTTTCAACATTCAATACAGAAAGTATTAAAATATTTTATTTCTTCAGAATTAAAAGAAAGCTTCAATAAAAGATATAAAGCCAGTCTCCAGTATATTCAATTACCAGGCTACCTAGATTTATTTAATATAACCAACAAGGTCCAATCCAATTTGCTCTACTCAGACAAGTAATCCCATCAAATTAATGGAACTGCTTACAGGAGTAACAAGAACAGGGTTTTACCTGCTTTCACTCCCATTCCTCTCACACAGGTTTCCCCATTGCCAAGGCAGATATCTATACCTACAGCTGATGCCTTTTCTATTCTCTAAAGATGAATCACTACGTACACATTGCTACAGATGGTAGAAAATTCGAAGGAGAACTAGGAGAAAAGAAAAAGAAAGTTAAGATAAATTAGAGGAAAGAATACAGAAGAGGTTTTTTTTGTTTTTAAATGGTGAACTGTAGATGAAAATTAAGAGGTTTCTAACAGGACAGGAGTTTAATTGTGCTGTCACAGGCAGAGAAAAGTGCTTTCTATTTTGAAAAAGAAAAAAAAAAAGAGCTAGATTAAAGAATTGTAGTGCTTTACAGGACTACAGTTTGGAAAGTAACTAAAACATATGCAGAAATAAGTTTGGGCATGATCCCAAGAGGGAGTGGGGAATAAAAATACACCCTTTCACTAAAATATCAATCTTTAAAGTTCCATTCTTCCGCAGTTAATAGTTTTGACAGTTAAAAAAAAAAAAAAAAAAGAAAGGAAAAAAAGGCAGCCTATCATGGATATCTTATTATTGATAAAACTGCAAACAGTGCTGCTGTGTTAGGTCAGATCAAAAAAGCCAAAGATAGTAATTTATCTATTCATGTGCTGATAAAAACACGCTCGAACAAATTACCCTGCCCTGCAAAACGCTGCTGGGTAGTCATGTAAAAAGAATGTCAGCTTGTAACAGTAACTCTCAAATTTCAAATTACAGTTGCTAGCATTTCAGGCGTTATTGGAGGGGGGAAGGGGGGGGCAGCTTGAGTTTTGCCACATCGATCTCAGCCACGAAGGGCAGGAGGCCTGCGCCGCACGGAGCCAGTGGCCGGATTTCGGGAAATAACGCTGTATTTCACGCGTATCCGCGAGCAGCCGCGGCTCGGGCGGAAGGTTCAGGTTTTCCTTGAGGCGGAGCAGGGTTTCCCCGCTGCCAGCCGGTGCTGCAGAGCTGCCCGCGGAGGGGCGGGGTACGCTTACCTTCCAGGATGCTCTTGGCCAGGAGGCTCGGCGTCCGGACGTGCCTCTGATAGACGGCTTTGCGCTCCAGGCTCGCCTGCTTCCCCGCTAGCCCCTTCTTGTCCTAGGACAGCGATCGGGCGGCCCCGTCAGCCCTGGAAGTGCTCGCCCCGTCCGTCCCGTCCCTTCCCGTCCCTACCCCTCTTACCTCGGTGGCCTGCTGCCGTCGGAGGGCCACCTGGGCGGCCATGACACGCTGCCGTTCCACCACTAGCAGGCAGTTGGCGCACTGGCAGTCACGCCAGCGGCAGAACCGCTTGTGTCCCTTCAGGCACGACACCACGCCGTGGTTGCGGCATCGGGCGCACTTGGGCGTGCGGCTCAGCTTCCGCGGCTCCCCCCTCCGCGGGGCTGCCGCCGCCGCGTCCTCGCCTTCCTCCTCTTCCTCCTCCGGCCCGGCGCCGCTGCCGGTGGCCTCGGCCGCCTCCCCCTCCACGCTCTCTACGTCGATCTCCCAGTCGGCGGTGGCACGTCCTTCAGCCATGGCTCCGCGACAGCGCAGCTGCAAGAGAAGGGTCAGGTCGTTTGTCCCCTCGGCGGGACGGCAGCCGGGGAGCACCCGCTTCCTAGGTGGCCGCCTCGGAATCACCCTGCCCAGCAGCCCCGAAGGGATGCGCCCCGATAGGGAACTCATGGCAGAGCCCACCTGGGATATCGCCTACCCCCTCATCGCCTGCTCGGCCCTATTCTTCACGGTCCACGAAGGGCTTAGTTGAACCTCGACGGTCGCTCCCTCTCTTCCCTCCACCACCCCCACCCCCGGCCCGACCCTGCTTGCCGCGGACCTGTGCGCGTCCCCAGCGGCGGAGGGAGCAAGAGGAATAGCGCGCAGGGCTTTCGGATCTGCCAGGTCCTCACAGGGACCTGTTTGCTTCAGGGTCCTAACAATGTCTGCTCGCCACGCTCAGACGTAGGGGACAAATACGGAACGCCTGGGCATCACACACCGCTGCCGTCCGCTACCGCCACTCGGGACAGCAGGATGAGCTCCTTGAGCTCTCTGCACCGCGGAAGCAGCTCCTTTGCACTTACCCGGGTTCAGCGCCCGAGGCCGGCAGGCGGAACGAGTGCAGGCAGCCCTCCCTGTCCCCACAGCTCGTAGGGCTGCCCAAGCGCGGTCGGAGGCAGGAGGGCACTCCCGGTCTCCGCACGTAGGGGTGGTGCAAGGCTCCGGGCCGCCGTGCCGTCGGGGGGTCACTGACCGCCGCGCCGGCTCGGCTCGGGAAGACCCCGTCACTTGTCTGCGGTCGCGCTGTCCGCAGCAGCGCCGCGGATGACCCCCGGGCCGCCCGCCCCGCGGCACAGTGCCCGCAGCGCCCGACCCGCCGCGTTTTCAGCGCCGGGCGCAGCCGCTCTGATTGGCCCGAGACGCCCCCTACACGCCCCTTGTTCCCCCCCCGCTTGTGCCAGCCACCACCCGCCCGCTCGTGGGTGCGGAAGAGCGAGGGGGGGGGGCAGAGGGGGGCTTGGGGTGCGCTCAGCGGCCGTAGCGGGAAAGGCGTGCTCGATCCCTGATGGTGGGGGGGAAACGGCGCTTGAAAGGAAGGAAAGGGGAAAAAAAAACAGTAACGCGCGTGGTGGTGCCAGCTTAGAAGCCAGCGGCGCGGGCGAGCGGCTTCCCCGCTATCGGGGAGCGTCCCGAGTCCACACGGCTGGGACAGCCCCGTGGGTTTCGTTTGCGGTCGTTCGCCTCGCTCGGGCCGCGACGTGCCACTGTGCACCTACCGGACCCGCGGCAACGGGCTTTTCTCGCGCCTGAAAATGCAACGGAATCGGTGTTCTCTTCCTGCCCTGTCGGGAATTAGGGCGAGGAAAATGTCCGTTCATTTTTTCAGCGTTATATCGCCTCGGTGGCGTTTTCCACCGAGCACCGAGATGTTGACTTCCCCCCCACTCCATCTCCCTGACGGAGGCCGCTCTTCGGAATATGGGGAATACACTCTGTCTCCCAAAACAGTGAGCAATCGGGATCGTAACGCACGACGAATCGGCCGTGCCGGCAGGGTGCGGGAGCTCGATGCTCCCGTCGGTGAGAACGGGAATTCCCACGGGACGAGAGCTGGCGAAATACACTTGAGCCGGGCAGGGGAAGGGCGAGTGAGTTTAAACAGAGTGTTCCCAGGAGGACAAAAAAAATAATAATAATAATTAAAAAAAAACCACAAGAAACAAACAAAGGTGAGAAAAGGCACGGGGGGCAGGTGGGGAACGGGGGACAGCATCATTTCCCCACCAGCGCGCGGAACGTGTGTCCGCCGCTGTTCTCCGAAAAGGAAAAAAACATTCTGCCCGTTCTCGGAGAAGAGCGTGTGTACAATAAATACCGGCAATACCCATGTATATAATAAACACGGGCATTCGCTCACGGTGAACACACGGACCGGCTGCCCGCAGCCGGCTCGGCATGGAAAAACCCTGCTCCCGCAGCGCTTAGGAAGGCAGGCCAGCGGCCGAGGCGCGGGCGGCGCTGTGAGGCTGGTGACGGGCGCAGCCTCCGCCGCCTCCTCCTTGGCCGCGCCTCGGCCCTTCCCCTCGCCCTGCGGACTACTGTCACCTGCAGGGACGGGTGGAGGGAGCGTTTGCCGAGCGTTTGTCCCAAGGGAGCGTGTGTCCTCCTTGGGCCGTACCGCCTCCAGTGCTCACACCGGGAGAGCGGGGAGAAGGAAACGCATCCCCTGACGGCAGGTATTATTCATCCTAAAAGAGACTCCGGCTACTGTTTGACTTACAAGCATGACTAAAAGGCAAATACCCAAGGAATTCCACTTTCCCCCTTGGGGTCCCTCTTAAAAGGCACAAGCATGACAAAAGACCTGCTAGGTTAGGAAACAGAAGTCCCCTTTGCTTGTAAACCGACACCAAATTACAAAGTACGATTCTGCGGGCCGCTGGAGTAAATTACAAAACAGTTCGCCTCCTGTTTACTTTATCCACAGGGAACTCTGAAACCCGGCCATCACTTTAAAGTGTGTTTGTACAACTTTCTTCTGCACCTCTTGGTTGAGCTCGGCTCCTCAGCGCGTTTGCGCTCCTCTCCAGCCTCTCTCTCCTCTCCCTCCGGGAAAGAGGGGTGACTCTGCCGTCCTCCGGCTGGACAAACATGCGGGAGGAGGAGGCGGAGAGCGTTTCCTTCGCTGCTGCTCCCACTCGTGTGCAGCGGAGACCTCCGCTCCCGCTCAGCTCCCCCTGTCCCGCTGGCTGCGTGCTGTCTGAGCGAAAGCGGGCAGATGCCACTCCGTGCACTGCGGGGGAAAGGCGCTGATTTCCACTCGAGCGAAGGCAGCGAAGCCCACGACATGCCACTGTGCACCCATCTGCCCCCGCTACAATGCGCCCCGCAGCCCGCGGGTACGGCTGCCCGGAGCGGCAGCCAGCGGCCGGGACTGCTGGGGTGCTACCGGGCTGCTTCACAGCCTCCGCGGCACACCCTCCCCGTGCCCGACCCGGCCTGTGTGTCCCCACCCCAGAGCCACGGGGGTTCACCCGTGAGCTGAACTGCCTGGACCGGATGGGAGTTCCCGGTGTTTCCCCGGGCAGGTCAGGCGACTGGTGCTGCACCGGCCGTGGCACCCCCAGGCCCCTGAGCAGCGGAGGGAGGGAGCGAGCAGCTCCGGGTTACTCCCTTCGAAGGCCGGCGGCTTCGCCGGGCCCTGCTTTGCATTGCTGTCCGGTGCGGCGTGCAGGTGCCGCGGTCCCTCCGCTCCTCTCCTCCTTAACCCTCCCTTCTTCTAGAGAAATTTATTACCGAGGTTAGGGCAGGCTAACCAAACGGCAACCCCGGGTGCAATTTCCGCGGAAGGAATGCTTTGATCTTGCCTTCTCCCCGCGCCGTCGGGAGCACATTACATTGCCAAACGAGGGAGATCCCCTCCACTTGTTTGGCCAGAGATGTTACCAGTCAATCTGAAACAAATTGCCTCCCCTCGCTCGCCGACCCCCGCCACCCCCGCCCCGCGGTCCCGGTGCCCGGTGCCCCCTCCCCAGGGGCCCGAGCAGCCCAGGAGCCGGGCAATGCGATAAAAGCTTCTGCTCCGCGGAACGTGAACATGTGTTCCAGCGAAGTGATCTCAGCTGCGGGGAAGAGAAGACGAAGAAAGACAGAGAAAGAGAAAGGAAAAGAGAAAGGGAAAAAAAAAAGAAAAAAAAAAAAGAAAAAGAGAAAGAGAGAAAGAGAAAGAAAGAACCAGTAAAAACTGTGATTTTTGTTTTACATCACTCACCCTCTGTCTCTTGTAAACAGCACTTACTCTAAGGTAAACCTGGATAAGAAACCCATGACACAGATCTTTCTAAACTGATTGTACCTTAAAACACTTTAAACAAGCATGTTGGTTTTATTTTCCTTTTTAAAAAAATCTTTGCGTTTTAAACAAGCATTTCATTGTTTATATTTTTTAATGCACTGCTACCTAATGTACTTGTAAAGTAGCTAGGTACAGTCAGAGGACGAATTTTCTGCTATTTCTGGATGTCAGTCATATAAATATAATAAATACATGTAATAAGGATGTAGGAAATGTCGTTGAAATGTGTTCATTATAGAACATAGATATGCAAGCAAATTTTATTGACTGTGACAGTGATTCCACTGCCTTTGTAGGAATGTTTGCTTTGACAAGGAGTATTATACCAGGATAATCTTCAGCTGTGTGAAACTGGATTGATATCAGAAGCAGTAACAGTGAGCAAAGCAGAACTGCCACTCTGGGCACAGTTAGTGAAAGTCTGATGAGAAGTCTGGAGGTGTCAAAGGAAAGTTTCCCATGGACATAGACTGTCTAAGCTTTTTCCAAAAGACAAAGCTTTCGACAGCTTTGGATCAGGCACAGGGTGAAGCAGTTTTCCATCTACAGCCCTTTTCACCCTGGCATCTGCCTGGAAGAAGGGATGAGCTCCCAGAGAGAAGGAAGCGATGGGCCATGAAGGAAGGGCGGGTTTGCTCTCTGCAGCTGGGCGCTGCACCAGGAAGACACATTCTGGCCCATGCCTCTGCAAACAGGACCACGCTGGCAGGGTGATCATTAGATAAAGCAAGGAAGAAACACTGTTCAGTGGAAGTAGAACTCCTTCTTCTGCAGGGTCTGTGGCCAGGGGACACTTAGGTAGACCTAGAGAGACTCCAAGTCAAAACCAGTCCAAACCAGTCCTTATCCAATCCTGCGATGGAATTTTGAATTTAAACAAGAAAATGCCAGGAGGAGGGCTTCTGTGCCATCTGCAGCAGCTTTGCTTTGTCTCGTAAACAAGGCTGACCTTTGGTTTGCCACCATTTAATAAGTCAGTAGACATTTGGCAGGTCTCTTGCTGAAATGTACTAGAAAGTTGGATCAGCTCTCAGTGTGAATATCAAGAATCCACTATACAAGCAGTGAGCATAGCAAATTGTCAAGTCAGCAACTAGGGCACTTCACTATGATCTTCCCAAATGTCTTAAGTAGTTTGGCAAATCTCTTGTTGTAATAAATTCTAGTGGAGTTTTGGGGTTTATGTTTTTTTTCAACATATGGCCTTAAAAAGTAACATAGCCAAGAATATTTTTAGAGTCACTGCAGAGTTTGCTGGAGATGTTGTCTCGAAACTTGTTTGTACTCTGGCAGTTTTATTCAAATGTCAACCAGATGCAGAAAGTGTGGGGTTTTGGGTTTTATTTTACAGTCCTGGAAAGTAAAGGTCAAGCCTCTGCAACATAAATTGTCTTTTTCATTG